CTGTCCTGTAGGTCATGGGCAGGAGACTGGGAAGGTCAGAGCCCTGGGGGCAGAATCTGACGGGCTTCTTCCTGCAGAGGCTAAAGTGCGAAGGGGCACAGATGCCTCCCAAAGGGCAGGGGAAGGGAAGAGGTGGGAGATTTGAGGTTCCCTTTTGGAAGAGATGCTGGCGCTCTGTGATCTGGTACTCTCTCTTAGTTTCATTGTGGAAGCTTGCACCTGGTGCTAATGCAGGTGAAATGGAAAGCAAGATGCAGGGACACATTCAAGGCCTTACCGTTACACAAGGAGAGGATTCCTTTGGCTTCTCTTGCTGCGGGCAAATCTCCAGGGTGGGAGGAGGGGAGGTACAACACAGAATAGGGTGGCCTGGTTGGGCAGGGAGGGAAGACAGCGGCTAAAACATTGTGTCTGGGGCTCAGGAGAGAAGATGACTGAAGAGGAGGTGGAGACCGTTCTAGCAGGACATGAGGACAGCAATGGCTGCATCAACTATGAAGGTGAGGGGGCCGAGGAGCAGACGGCACGGGAGGAGGGGCGGCAGGAGGCTCCCGGTCTGCGGTGTGGGCACCCTGGGGCCGGGGCTACCCAGAGTCAGACGACCATCCTCCGCCTGCCCTGAAGCCCCTCTCGCTTCCTCCGCAGCCTTCCTGAAGCACATCCTCAGCGTGTGAGCTCTGCAGGTAGGGCCTCCTACTCGCCTGGGCAGACTAGTCTCCTTCCGGCCCTCCGCCTGGGCACCAAAGCTGGGCAGTGCGTTTTCCTGTTCTACGTATGCGTGCTGGGGTTTGGCAACTTTTCACCTTTTTCCACAGATGGCGTGGGGTCGGACACTGGGCCTCCCGCAGGCGGAAGCATGTTCCTACCACTAGGAGGCCACCTATTGTTTCAAAATAAAGAGACGGTTCCTCCCCTGGCCTCCGACTGCTGCTTTCTTCAGGGCTGGGGGTGGGAGGGAGGGAAGCGAGGGCTCTCCTCTCCCCGATCCGTTCTCCTCCGTCTTCCCGCTGCTCCAAAGGGCAGGTTCCTCGCGCCCCTCCCCACACCATCTACCGGCGCGGTCCCCGTGCCCCAGGTGCGGCTCGGGAGAAATGAGCAGCGGCGGGCCCCGCCCATCTCATGACTAATGTAGCAGGTCATCTGCATAAGCCCCGGCCAGGAATCCTATTGGCTGGGCCCGCTGAGGGTGACGTCATCGGGACGTTCGAAGACTAGGGCTGGGCCGGCAGCCGGAGCCATTACTGCAGGAACGGGTCCCGCAGAGCTCGGCAGCCAAGATGGTGGGGCCCGGGCCTGGGGGGGAGAGCGGGGTTGGGGGCGAGAGGCGGGAAGTTGGGGGTAGGGGTAAAGGGGCCCCGAGGGCCTGGGAGATTGGCGGCAGGGTTGGGAAGTCTGGGGAGTTGTCCTGCTGGGAAGCGAACGAGTCCCCGGCGCGGGGCCGGCGTTGGTGGTTGTGGGGGACGGGGCTGGAAGCTCGGGGTGTGGAGCTCAGCTCTGACCGCCCCCCTCTTCTCCGCGCAGTGCGACTTCACCGAGGACCAGACCGCAGGTAGGCGACGCGCCCCCTGAGGTCGCGCTCGGGGACTCCTCTAGCCCCTGACCCCGCCTGTCCTCTCTTCCGCGCCTCCAGGGGCGCCTCCGGGTTCCTCCTCCTGGAGCCTCCATCTTCTGTCTCCCTCTCTTCCTCCCTCTCCTTCCATCCAGATCTGAGCCCCCGCTCTGGGTGAGTGAGGGTGTGGGCATGAGACAGCTTGGCCGCCCGCTGCCTGCTGCGGGGCGGGAGGGGTCTGCGCTGCTGTGCGCCTCCGACCCGTAACCAGCTTCCGCCCCTTCTCTCCTGACAACTCTCCCCCCCCCCGCCCCCTCCCGCTTGGACTTGTGAGGACTAACACCAGGGGCCCGCTCTTCTGTAACAGCGGGGCCGGGGAGTTGGCGGAGGACACTTTCGCCGAACGGCGAGGTGGGGAGTGGCCGGAGGCTGCCCCGGCCCGGCCGCCGCTCCCGCTTCCTTATAAGGACCGGCCCAGCCGGGGCGGCGGCGCATTCCTGCGGGTCCCGGCGGAGGCTGGGCCGGTTAGGAGGCCGGGCCGCGGGGTGGGGCGTGTGTGTGTGTGTGTGTGTGTGTGTGTGTGTAAATGTGTGGCTACTGCCCGGGGGAGCAGGGCTGTGTCCTTACCTGGGACACCTGAGTCGGGAGTCGCGGACTCTGGGTCCGTCCCTCTTAGGGACTTTGGCGCACAGGGATCATATCGGGTTTCCACGATTAAAGTTGAATGGGAACGGACACCATGAGGGTTTGGTTTAGCCCCCGTGTGCCCGGTGCTGATGTGTATCTGGATCCTCAGAGTTCAAGGAGGCCTTCCAGCTGTTTGACCGAACAGGGGATGGCAAGATCCTGTACAGCCAGTGCGGGGACGTGATGCGGGCCCTGGGCCAGAACCCCACCAACGCCGAGGTGCTCAAGGTCCTGGGGAACCCCAAGAGCGATGGTGAGGGTCCTCAGGAACAGCCCCTCAGGGTGGGGGAGGGCCCAGTCCTTCAGCTCAGCGCTCCCTTTGCCTGTGTAGCCCCAAACTCAAGCAGGTCTTGTCTTGACTAGCAAATCCCATGGGTTTCTTCTGCTTGGAGTGGGAGCGGTCTGTTCGGCTGTGACCCTGTGACCCCCTCGGTTCTGAGCACTTGTGTGACTTTCCTCCTGCCTCCTTTATGGCAGAGATGAATGTGAAGGTGCTGGACTTTGAGCACTTCCTGCCCATGCTGCAGACGGTGGCCAAGAACAAGGACCAGGGCACCTATGAGGACTACGTCGAAGGCCTGAGGGTGTTTGACAAGGAGGGGAACGGCACTGTCATGGGTGCCGAGATCCGGCATGTTCTCGTCACACTGGGTGAGGCCCTACCCTTCCTCCTTGAGCCGAGGGCCACCTGATAGACACTTCACCTGTCACGCAGTTCCCACAATGCTCTCCTTCCCTCTGCAGGTGAGAAGATGACGGAGGAAGAAGTAGAGATGCTGGTGGCAGGGCACGAGGACAGCAATGGTTGTATCAACTATGAAGGTGAGGGACAAACTGGAGGAAGCAGCCATTCGGGGCAGGTCAAGTACAGTTTGGGGCTTTCCCTGTCCCTGGACTTGGGCTCCAAAAAGTGCCAGGCAAGAGGCAGGGCCCTGCCCAGCCCAGGAGCGGGAGGCCAGGGGTGTATGGCAGGAAAGGACGGGTCACGTGGTGTGAAGGGGGGGGAAGGAATGGGAAGTAAAATAAATGGAATGTCTATGTCCCCACTGCCTGACCCCTCACCCCATGTGTGTGTCTTGTCTTCACCATTAATGTCTCTTCCTTCCTGCAGCATTTGTGAGGCATATCCTGTCGGGGTGACGGGCCCGTGGGGCGGGTACGGCTCCTCCCAGCCTCCCCTTCTCTAGTTGACCCCTCCAGTGTTTTTCTTCCCCACTTGCTCTCTGGCCCCTGCCCTCCCCCTACTACCATCTGACTTCTGGCATGTTTCTGCATGGAGCTGACTGGGGAGGGGAGGGGTCCTCAAAGAGGAAGACAGCCTGGGGGTGTGGTACCTCCTCTCCTAGAATGGGCTCTGAAGTTTTACTTCTGGGGCCTTAGTGCTGGTGCCTGGGAACCCTGACACCTGTCCCGTCTTGCTTTAGGGGGATCCTTTGGCCCTGGAGCAGCGGTGGTTGGCATAGGGGGGTGGGCTGCCTGCCCCATTGTTCTGCTGTAGCTGAACAGTTCTTCCCCTTCCTTCTGCTGGGCAGCTTGGAGGTACCCTAACCCAAAACTCTGTCTTCTCCTCCTGCCAGTGGCTGACAGTAGCTTTAGGTGTAGTTAAGAACTTTTCTGCCTCTGCTGTGTTCTTGCTGCTCAGGTTGGGTGGGAACTAACAGCTGTTGGGAGGGGAGCTGGGGGCCTAGAGAACTGGTCAGACTCAAGGTGACTCCTCTGCAAACTGACCCCAAGGTTGGTTGCGGCAGGCACGTCCGTTCTTATGCCACCTTCGTGGTCTTAATGGTCTCCTGGCCCCTGGTGGTCCCCTCCCCTGGGCCCTGCCCCCTGGTTTACACTCTCTCCTTTCCACAGAGCTCGTCCGAATGGTGTTGAACGGCTGAAGACATTCCCAGTGTGCCCAGAGCCTTGTGCCTTCCCCTGTGTGAGACTGTATTAGCCCTGAAGGCTTCCCAAGTTCTCTTGTCACAGCACTTTTCCCAGTTTGTATCTCTTGGATGATGTCTGCCATCAGCATTCACCAAATAAACTTGTTTTCTGTGCCCTAAATGCGGTTCTGTTTTCCTTCCTGAGCAGGGTGAAGGGAGAGATAGTCCAGGATCAATGGACCAGGGGCTGGGGAAGAGCCTGTAGGAGCCCTTTGCCTCACTGAAGAAATGCTGACCACATTCATTGCTGCTACAAAGGCCACCCCTTGGGGGATGAGGGAAGCCATAAATCTCTAGGACCAAGGCTGGCCAGCCTTGTTCCAGGCCACATCAGGCTGAGTCCTCGCCTAGCACTCTAGCTCCTTAAATCCAACGCTGACCCTCCCAAGCACTGCAGACCTTTGGTGGGGGAAACGTGGAGACTGTTTATTGGAGCTAAAGCTAGGGCACATGGGCACTGCCAGAGCCTGTCACCCAGCAGGGCTAGGGGCCAATAGCAACAGAAGGAGGTGAGATGCCTGCCTTCTCCCTGCCTAATAAGGGAAGAAATGAAGCCACTACTTCTGAAAGGGTAAATAAACAAAAGCTCCCGGTTGAGGATGTCCTTCCAAGCCTTAAACAGCTATTTTTGGGGCAGGTGAGAGCCTCTGCCCAGCTCCTGCATCAGTGCACAGCCCTGACAGCTGAGCTGCCTGGCTGTGGGGGAGAGGCCAGCGTCTGGGCCCAGTGCCTCTGGCCTAAGTGAACGCCCCAGGGAAGAACTCCAGCAATGATGCCCCAGCCCCACCCGCTACCTGACAGTCACAGGTCAGAGAACACAGAAGGCATCCACAAGATAAAACTGAAAGCAAATTAATTTATAAAAAAGAAAAAGAAAGAAAAAAAGAGAAAATTTACAGAAAACTTTTGAACAGAAGGAAGGTGCCAAGACGCAGAGGAGAAGAAACATGGGGACATGAGGAACGAAGGGCCTGGTGGGCGGGACGAGGGACTGGTGGGGAGCCTGGAGTCACGTTTGCCTGCACATCGAGGGTGAAGAGGGGAGAGCTGGTATGTGAGGCACTGGAATCTGGGGAGCTGAGCTGAGCTGCAAGCTGGGGGTCAGCACTAACCTAGGTTGGGCACCCCTACCCCACTGTCTGCAAATCCCAGGGAAACCCTAGCTACCAGTCAAGGTTCTGATGGTCTTGGTGGAGGAGGGAAGAGGTTATGGGAATGATCCACTGAGTCATAAGAAAGAGGTGCTTAAGTGCTTTTTGAAAATTTCAGGTTTTTAAAACTTTCCATCTTCTAGCTGCCCTCTCCATGTCTTCTAGGAGCCCACTGAGAAAGCCCAGGGAGGAAGAAGAGCCCTGAATGCCCTGTCTTCCTCTATTATCTACCACAGGAATCTCCAAAAATAGGTTTCCCCACCAAATACACATACGCTGACATCAACTACATTGGCGACTTAAAAACACAAAAACTGACATTCAGAGGGAAACGGGTCATTGGCTGAGCTGGGGTGGCCTAAAACAGCAACACTGAGGAAGCAGCAGGAGAGATTAGTAAGGATAAACGGGGAGGGGAGGGGGGTGTCTGAGTTGACTTAGTTACTACCGAGGGGCTGGAGGAGACAGGTTCTGCACCCTATTTTATCCCCAGAGCTCTCTCCAGAATGTTAATTACCCTTTTCTAAAATGGTCACCTCCCTCCTCCAAAAAATTTAAAAGTTGGATTTTTTTTTAGTGGGTGGAGGGAGCTCCAATGCAGCTTAAAAAAAAAATCTATTTCCTTTAAAAGGGCTTAATTTTTTCCATCCATAAAAAAATGCAGTCGTTTTGAGGGGGTGTACCCTTTAGAAGTGATTAATTAGAACCTTGTATAAATACCTTCCCCCAGTCCTTCCTTTGAGGGCACATCCCCATCCTATCCTTCCTCCCAGACATTAGGAAGATCCTTTAAACAGAAGTCCTTGAATAATCCGATATAAAAATGCAAGCCCCCGACAGGGGCTTTGGTGGGGGCTTTGGAGGGGCAGGAAGTGCTTTCCTTACGTAGTGATGAGCTCTCCAGCTGGGGAAGAGTCCCAGTGGTGGGGGGAGGGCTCTTCCTGGAACCTTGATCTTCATGGGGGTGAGGGAGAGAGATGTCTGGCTGGCTCCTCACTGTGGAGGTGGCACAGGGGTGACTGTGCCTGGGCTCGGGGCTGTGGGGTCTGGAGGCAGGGGGGTGCCTGGGTCTGTGGAGAAAGGGAAGATGAATCAGCTAGGGTGAGCAGGAGAGAGGGCACCACGGACAAACAGAACTGGGCAAGGCGTGCAATGGGTGGGTAGATGAATGAGGTACCCACAATATACAACTTCCTTCCCCAACAACCTCTCCCACCTCACACTGGGAAGTGATAGACCTGAAATCATCCTCCTGCCCCCAAGGGAACTCTAAATGGGGCATCTGAGCATGATGGGGACAAGCAAAGGGGGTGCCAATCATCATGCAGTCAGGTAGCTGCCTTTCAAGTTTACAGCTGAGATGCTCTGTGCACAGGACTCCTCCATGACCCACCAGTGAAAGGCCCCAACGTCATCCCCGAGGTGGCAGCTGCCCGGCTGGGGGATGGTGAGGACAGCCAGAGAGGCCCTTCCTCCTGGATTCTAATTTCACCGGAGCGCTCAAAGAGTACCTGAGCCCTTCCCCCTTGCCCTCCTCTCCCCATATGGACCCCTCTCCCGCACCCTTCTCCCCTCCCGGACCCTTCTCACCTGGCAGTGGGCTGGCACTGGGCAGGAGGTTGCCCTGAACAGCTGCCACAATGGCAGGGCTCTGGGCTGCGGCGGATCCGAGCCCCGGCCCGAGAGGCAAGGAAGATGGCATGGTGGTGGTCGCCGGCAGGTTAGGATGTAGAGGGTTCGCCATGGACACAGGCAGGTTAGGTGGGGGGAGAGTGCCCGGGGCGAACGGGAGATGGTGGTGATGCCCATGCAGGTTAGGAGGAGGGGGAAGGTTAATACTGATGGAGTCGGCTAGACTACCAAATGGGATGATGGATGGAGCAGGAGGAGGAGGAGGCGGCATGCCAAAAGGCAAACCCAAAGGAGCATTACCCGCCACGCCTGGGTGCCCGCTGCCTGGCACTGCCCCTGGCATCATTGAGGGAGGAGTTTGTTGGTTGGGGAACGGTGAGGGGCCTGGGAATAGAGAGAAGAGATCCAGATGATTAGAGACAGAAAATCTCACTTATCAACTCACTTTTATAGGGAGGGTAATCTAGCCACTCCTAGGCACCACCTTCCCTTTTTCTGACCCTAGAATTAGTGGTAAATCCTCGGAGCAACATTCCAGAGATCTGGGTTTGGGGAAAGATCCCTGCTGGCTGAGGGATATGGCAGAGGTGGGCCCAGCAGTAGAAACTGAGGCCAATTCTATCTCCAATCCCATCACGTATCCCCTCCGAGGGGACCTGGAACGCTCACCTGGATCGCTCTGGTCAGCAAGAGTTCAAGAACCCATCACTTACCATGGGGTCCAGGGGGTGGAACCCCTGGTGGGACTGCCCCAGGTTGGGGGGCTCCGGCTGGTTGTTGCTGCTGTGGCCCTGCAGTTGACCCTGTCTGCCCAATCTGTTCAGAGGGGCCCAAGCTTCCAGGAGGGACCCCACTGCTAGCAGGAGCAGGGGCCACAGAAGCCGGAGCCATCGCCAAGCCATGGACTGTGGGTGGCCCAGCAGCGCCTGTCGGTGGGATAGGCTGGGAGCCTGGGGGCAGGGCTGGAGGTGGCTGCTGCTGCTGCTGGTGCATTTGCTGGAAGTGCTGCTGCCGAGCCCTCATCTCCGCATACTTCAGCTGCTCCATGTGGAAGGCTTGCCTGTCGGCTAGGAGCTGCTGCCTCTGATACTCCAGCTGCCGGTGCCAATTGAGTACTGTCACCCGTGTTCAGGAGATCCCAGGGCAAACACCTTCCCCCTGCTTTATTTCTGACAAACCCAGCCCCTCATTCTGGTGGTTCCCCATACAAGTCTAAATCAGTGCGTGAGCATCCCCTTCCCCTCCCCCATCTTCTGGCTGCCCACACAGCTTCTCATGGCAATGGTGTTAGTCTGGGGGCCAGCCCTTGCTGATTTCAGCTACAAAGCTTTGCACTTGTCATTAATCTGGAAAACCTTTCCAGTCCTCCTGTCAATTCATGTTTTTTTCTTCCTTAAAAATTGGCTAAAAACTCATCATTCTTAGGGAGCCATCTCAGATCAATTCACTAGCCTCTGAGCTTTTGGCCTTTATTCTGTTATCACCTCAGGACTTATATACTTGATTTGAAATCTCTTAATTTGAATTTGTCAGGTACTTTAAGCATTAACTGTTTTTTGATGTCTCCATGCCGTATACATTTGATGTCTCTAATTGAATTGTAAATTCTCTGAGGGCAGGGGCCCTGTATTCTCTCTTTCTTTTCTTTTTTAAATATATTTTTATTTATTTCAGAGAGAAAGGGAGAGGGAAAGAGAGATAGAAACATCAATGATGAAAGAGAATCATTGATTGGCTGCCTCCTGAACACCCCCCAATGGGAATTGAGCCAGCAACCGAGGCATGTGCCCTTGACTAGAATCGAACCCAGGACCGTTCAGTCCACAGGTCTGAATCCACAGGTCTCTATCCAATGAGCCAAACCAGCTAGGGCTCATCTCTTTCTTTTTACAACTTCTCAAAGACAAAGTGGTCCATAGCTTATCTATCCCATCCCCTTTTCAAGTTCATCTCCTGGATCTGAAGCCTCTACGCTCTCATCATGCCTTAAATTTGTTCAACCCCTCAATATATACTTAGTGAGAGTTTACTATGGGCCAAGCACTGTTCAAGGACCTGGAGATGCTGATCAAAAATTAACTAGGATCTCTGCCCCATGGAGGAGCTGACATTGTGTGGCACCTCAGCTCCGGCCTCACCTGTGGGCCACTTGTCCTTAACGACCTGGAGCTGCCTCCCCCTGCCCTGGCTTGGGCTGTTCCACTCTTGCTTTGGAGCCCTGTCCATATCAGGCTTTCTGCTCTGCTGCTCCCCTCTCCCCGCTGCCCCGTCCTCAACTGAAGCACAACTCAGCATCAAGGTGGGGCCCCGGCTCTGCTGAACCCCTAGGGAACATTACTCACTGCTTCTCGCTCCCGGTCCATGATCGTCTCCAGTTCCTCAAAGTGCCGGAGTTTGATCTCCAGCTTTTTCATCTGGGTCTCCACTAGCAGGGCCACCAGAGATTTGATCTTCCTCTCCTCAACAGCAGCCAAGTGCTAGGGAAGGAGGGGTGGAAGGCATGTCAGCGGGAAGACCCAGTGGAAGACATTCTGGGGCAGAGAAAGGTGGCAGGTTTTAAGAAACAACTTGCTGTATTCACAGCTCAGAGAGCAAAACAGGCTTGATATTTTTAAAAGAACATGAAGAAAAATCAAGTGTGGCAAAGGATAAGACAAAAGTCAAATAATCTATATATATAAAAACCTAAGTGACCGTTTGACTATTTGACCAGTAGCTATGATGCGCAATGACCACCAGGGGCAGATGCTCAACATACAGGCATGGAAACATGGAACAGCCTGATGAATCTCAGAGGGAAGGGGGAAGAAATTAACCAAAGAGCTTATATGCCTACTAGAGGTCCGGTGCACAGATTCATGTACCGGTGGGGTCCCTCGGCCTGGCCTGCAGGGATCAGGCCGAAACTGGCAGTCTGACATCTCCCGAGAGGTCCCAGATTGTGAGAGGGCACAGGCCAGGCCGAGGGACCCCCCACCGGTGCACAGATTTGTGCACCGGGCCTCTAGTCAAATAATCAAAGCTTAAGAAACTTAGAACAGTGATGACCAACCCTCCCTCTTAGGATCAAAAGAAAAAGGAAATGGCCAGCATTATTCAAGGGATGAGTAAGGAAGGATTTCCTCCAGGTGAAGTGAGATCAGAGAAGGGCCATCTCCACCTTGGGGTTTTCTGGGTCTCTGGCCCTCACCTTGGCCTTCACAGCGGCGGCGGCCAGCGCAGCAGCAGCAGCGGTGGAGAGATTGCCCTCACCGATGTCCCTCTCCACCTTGGTCTTCCTTTCCCCCTCTGACTCCACCACTTCCTTCAGCACTTCCTCCTGCCCTCCTTTGGCTCCTCTCCTTCTCAGGGTCAACTGGGCCGGGAACAGGGCTGTTAGTCCTCCGGCCTCCCTTCTCTCTCCTGGACTTAACCACCCTGCGGGGAGGCTCACCTATGGGGTCCCCATCACTCTTCTCTGACTCCTTCTCACTGTCGCCTTCTTTCCCTTTCTCTTCATCTTTCTTGGGAGCCTCGCTAGTCTTCTCTTTTGCTTCTTCCTCCACAGCCCCAACGCCTTCTCGGGGTTCCTGAAGTCCCAGGGAAAGAAAAGTAGAGGATATCAGGGTGACTGGTTCTCACACAGGATCTGGACTGGGAAATGAATTCACACCTCTTACTTGGGAGGTAGTTTGGCTCCAGGAGAAGCCTAGCCACCTCCTGCCTGAGCTGGACTAAGCCAGCTCCCCATCACTATGCTGCCACCCCACCCCCAGCCCTCCAGCCCCCCAGCCCAGGTCAATCCAGCTATACCTTGGGCTCCTTCTTCTCCTCCGTGGCCTGGCCCTCCGCCCGTGCCTCGTCAGTCCCGCTCTCCTCTGGGCCCATGGGAAGAGGAAATGGGAAGTGGCTGATACAGAGTCTGTCTCTACAGCACTTTTCCCACAGCCCCCTTTCCTAGCCAAAATCTTAGTGAGAGGGTCAATAGGGAGCTAGAGTCCCTAAGGTAAAGTCCTGGGGAAAATAAAACCCCCACCAATCTCCCATTTGTCTGGTGCTCTGAGGCCAACCGAGGCAGGGATGGCATAAGGAAGCCAGGTGGAAGGGGAGAAATCTGGGAACTTGTCAGCCTTACCAATCCGCTCAGGCTCATCAGAGGTGGTTCCGGCAATACCACTACTTTCCAGACCGAAGGCTGGGTCCGCCTTGCCTGTCACTTTGGCTGCTTCCTCCACTTTCCGAACATGGGCCTCCACCAAGGCTGTGGGTACCTCTTCCTTCATTTTAGAGAACTCCTCTGCAAGTTTCAGAGAGGATGAGGATGGGAGTGGGGGCAGGGAGGCAGTTCTGGCCACCCCGGTGAAATCCCATCTCTCCATCCAGACCGACATGGAGCCAGGCAGGTGCCTGAGCTGATGCCAGCAGAAGACTGGGCCGGCCAAACTTGAGAGGGTCTCAAGGTCTGAGTAACTAACTAGTCCTTCAAACGCAAACTAAGCCCGGCTGGTGTGGCTCAGTGGTTGAGCGTCAACTTATAAACCAGGAGGCCAGGGTTCAATTCCTGGTCAGGGAACATGCCTGGTTGTGGGCTCAATCCCCAGTTGAGGGCGTAAAGGAGGCAGCCGATCAATGATTCTCTCTCATCATTGATGATTCTCTCTCTCTCCCTCACCTTTCCTCTCTAAAATCAATAAAAATATATTTAAACAAACGAACAAACAAAAAAAACGCAAACTAAGAAGGCCAGGAACCCTCCACATTACCTAGAGCCGACTTTGCAGCAGCAGAGGCGACTCGAGGATCGACGACGGAGGCCAGGAAGGCGACAGTGCTCATGACGGGGTTGCCGGACTGACTGAAAGGGATGGGCTGGTAGGCCAGGGGGCCCAGAGAGGCCTCCGAGTCCTCCAGGTACGGGTCTTCAATGGGAAGACGAAGAAAATGCAAGATGCACTCGTCCTGCGTGCGGCTCCCCACATGCTCAGACACTTTGTTCCAGTCGTCTTTGTACATTTCCAGAGCCTGGTGGTGGTGGTGGAGGAGACACAACTTCGCTTACTTGGCCACTTCCCTTGAAGATCAATTCCCCCCATCTTACTAAGGCGAGCTGGCTTCAAAGCTCTCTGTCTGTGGTATTTGTGTGCTCTGTTGGGTCCAAAAGGAACTTGCAAGTAGCACTAAGAACGGATATGGCGTTAAGGAAATGGCCCAAATCTCTGGCCTGGAGCTGTTGCCTAGGGCAGGTGCGAAGGCATCGGGAAGGAGAGAGACCGAGGGCAAGATCACGCTGCCCCGTTCACGAGTGCGCAGGCACCCGGCCACTTCTGTCACGCAGGCCTCTCCTTTCCTCACCCCAATTACCTCCAGTAGAAGCAGGGTCTCCTGCTCCGTCCACTCTCGCGTGGCACTGGCCGCAGCTTTGCTCTGCAGGGGAAAGACAGGCGGGTCAGCCAGAGGGGCCTTGACCTCGGAGGAGTGAGGGCGCTCAGGCCCTGAGTCACCCCACACTTCCATACCTTGGAGGGAACGTTCTTCTTTGTGTACATGTCTGTGCGTAGCCCAAAGTTCTGCATGTCTGTTGGTTTCTCTTTGCCTTTGTCAGGGAAGTTGAGCATTTGTTGGGAAGCAGAGGTCTGCTATTTGTGGAGGGAAAGAAAGAGGTGAGTACAAATGACCACCAGGAGCCAGGGGCAGAGAGAGAAAGATAGAGACAGAAAGAGAGAAAGAGAGAGAGAGATAGAAACAGACAGAAGGAGCTTTCTTCCCAAAGTCAGGGACACCCCTGGGCGGGGCTTCCTCCCTCACTGCTGTAGCTCCTCTGTTCTCATCTCTCCTTCCCGGGCAGGGGACCCCAAACAAAGGGGCAAATAAGAAGCCCAGCAGGGTCTACACCCCACCTACCAGCTCTGGCTTGCCCTTAGCGGTCTCTGGCACCAGGTCATCCAGCTCTTTGCCCTTGCGCCCAGCCTTGGTATCAGCATCAACCTGGCGGCCCTGGGGGACAGAGCTTGACGTCATGGAGGCTGGGCAGGGAACACCAGGCCAAGGCCCTAGAGGCCTCAAGACCAAGTCCCGGGTGGTCCGCAGCTCTGGGGCCTTCATGCCATTGCTCCATGTTCCCTTAATGGTTAATTAGGTCTGCAGTTGGCATGATATCCACTTGTATTCACATATGTCTTTACAAATTTCCTTAGGAGCTGGACAATTAGGTTCTAGTTCTAGATTTAGTACTCAGTGACCTTGGGCAAGCCACATAACCTTTCTCCTCTTAATTTTTGTAATGTGTGAAATGGAAGTGGAAAAATGGAAGTGATAATAATTATGAGTCAAAAATGAAAAAATGTTGGAAACATGACAAAGCTAAAAAATTTCATGCAACTGAATTTCAAGCCATTTTTCTCTATCTGTTCCGTCCCCTACATTAGTCTCTCTGCTCCTTGAGGACAAGGAACATCTCTTCTCCCTCAGCAAGTCCTTGTAATCTTAGGTGCAGAGGCTGAGAGAGGTTGCTAAACACCTGGGGCTGATTCCTGTCGCCCTGTGCATCCCATGGAAAAGGAAGAAGCCTCAAAGCACTCCTGAACCATTACCCTAAAAAACCAGAAAAAGAAAAGTCCAAAGAAGCCCAATTTTACTCCCCCCGCACCCGTCCCTACAGCCCCTCATCCTACCTGTGGGGTCTTGGGTTGCAGAGGCACCAGCCCTGAGGGCGTGTCCGCTAAGACATGGAAGTGAGAGGTGGGTGGAGGTCCCATTGGGGTTGGTCGACTCTCAGCATCCACCTGGTAGTTTATAAGACCCCACTGCTCTAGGAAGGCGTGGACCCTGGGAGGAGACAGAAACAGGGTCACAGGCAACCAGAAAGCTGCATGAGAGCTGAGGACAGAGGTGGCCTAAAGCTCCCTCTCCCGCCCTGTTTTCTGCTCATTCTCCTCCCTGGGAAATCTCTCCTCCCACCACGTAAATGCCAAGTCTATATCTCCAGTTAGGACTCTCTTCATATTCATCCACCTGCTCCACATCTCCTGGACAGCCAGTAAAATCGAAACAGGACTTTCTCCTTTCCTCCACGCTCATGGGGTACCACTGCCATTCCCTCAGGTCACTCGCACCCCGAACCTGACCCTCACCTTTCCCTAGAGGTGTTTCTTCCTGATCACTCCCCTATGTTCCTTGCTGGCATCTCTGTTTCTGCCAAGAGACATCTGTGGGCAGACATCCTGACATACCCCTTCCTCTCAGCTGCAAACCCACCTCATGATGGCACAGACATCGCCCGCCAGGTTCCTGCGGCAGGCGGTAGAGGTGAGATACTCCTGGGGGTTCAGCCGGTAAGTGTCAATCATGAAGTTTCGGTAGGCCAGGTAGCTTAGGAGAGATGAACAATGAGGCAGAAAAATAAATGTCTGTTGACGGCTGAAGGGGAGGAAAAGTGATAAAGGAGCAAATAACTCCTCCTGTGTGACAAAGGCAAACAAGAGCTGACAATCTGACTCAATAAACAATGTGGGTCTACTATGTGCCCGACACCAGGGGTTCAAACACTGCTGATGTTTTCCTTGATGTTTTTTTTTTAAAGAAATATATTTTATTGATTTCTCACAGAGAGGAAGGGAGAGGGAGAGAGAGTTAGAAACATCGATGAGAGAGAAACATCGATCAGCTGCCTCCCGAATACTTCCCACTGGGGATGTGCCCGCAACCAAGGTACATGCCCTTAGTCGGAATCGAACCTGGGACCTTTCAGTCCGCAGGCCGGCGCTCTATCCACTGAGCCAAACCGGCTAGGGCTCCTTGATGGGGTTTTTAAAGTAAATTATATCCTTGGCTGTACTTGAAGGTGATTCACCCAACTTTTAAATAAGGAATCAAAAGGTAAAAAAAGGAGCCCTTATTTCCAAATGCATATGTTAGAGGGAGGTCCAAATCCATGTATCCTACTAGTCAGCAAAGAATATGTTTTGAATGTGGAAAAGCTCAAATCCCAGTTCTACCATGATAGCCTCGGGCATGACACTTAAATTTTTGCCTCTCAGTTTCCCCATCTATAAAGTGGAGCGTCTGTGAAGCTTAGAAAGGTCTGTAAAGGTCTAATACAGTTTGAAAAATGATAGCTGTTGTATAGTATAGTGTAAAGTTTGAGACCATGACCCAGACTAAAGGATTCAGATCTCGGTTTTACTACTTACTAGCTGTGTGACCTTAAGCACTAACTTAACCCCTCTATACTTCAGTTTCCTAATCAGTGAACTGGAGATGATAATAACCTTCCCCTAAAGCTGATGTGGAGATTAAATTAGCCAATGTCTGTAGGACTGTGCCTGGGAGACAGTAAGCTCTCAATAAAGGTAGGCAATTATCATCATTTACTATTTTATGCCAAAAGTGCAAAGTGTAAGTTAGGAAACATCATTTCAAATACTGCTTTGCCACCAAAAAAATAGCTTTGTGTCCTTCCTTTGCCAGTCAAATCATCTTGAAAGGCCTCAAGATTGTTAGTTTTTAATGTGGTGAGAACTATACAACTTATAAGCTTTCTTCCAGATCTAAAAATCTATGATTCTCTCTTCCTGGTGAATTTGGTTTCTCTCCAGATAAAAAAATAATACATAAAACATAAAACTATTAAAAAAAAAAAAAAAAAAAAAAGGTCCTGGCTGGTTTGACTCAGTGGATAGAGCGTCAGCCTGCGGACTGAAGGGTCCCAGTTCAATTCCCGTCAAGGGCACATGCCTGGGTTGCAGGCTCGTACCCCAATAGGGGGTGTGCGGGAGGCAGCCAATCAATGATTCTCTCTCATCATTGATGTTTCTATCTCTCCCTCTCTGAAATCAATAAAAATATATTTTAAAAAATGATAATAATAAAAATAAATAAATAAATAAAAAGGAGTGCAAAGTGTGGAACAGTTCTAGTTTCAACCCTGAGGGCAAATCATGTTGATCACGTCACCTGGCCACTACTTCCTTTTCCCCTGGAGAGCGAGGCTTCTTCACACACACTGCTTTCCCAGAAGAGGAGAGAAGCAGACCAGGCTACAGGAAAAGTAGCATCGCAGGAAGGGAAGGGAAGACGGCCCCCGAGAGGGGAAGCTGAGGAGCAGATGGAAAGCAAGCCCTGGTTCTCAGGGAACCTGGGCTCAGCACTCAGGCTCACCATCTCATCATGATATTGATCCTGGAGCATCTCTAACCAGAGAAGATTGCCAAGTCTCATCCAAAGCCAAGCAAGTTTGGCCTGAGGCAACACCTTGAAGGAGACGAAGACTTCTGAGCCCCAAGCCCGCACTTGACCTAACACTTCTCTCCAGAAAGCCCTCTCCATCCCTTAATTCACAGACGTGGGTCTTAATAGTTTTCCCTCTCGTTTATCTATCAAAACCTACCCTTAGGGACCAGCCTGGTAACAGCCACTGACAGTTTAGTCAAAGCTATTCTAGGGAGATTTGCATTTTGGACAACAGCAGTAATTGTGGGTTGAAAGAGTCTGTGCCCTGTTAAAAGAAATGGATTTGGAGCAGGTAGTTGTTTTGTACAGAAGAGCAGGCTGATGGCCACTGGGCAAATCCTAGAGAGCGTGTTGCGTGGTCACAGTGCTGGGCTGGGGCTGCCTGGGGGTAAGTCTTGCTTGTGCTCCTGGAAGAACTCAAGAAATGTTTGCTAAACAGGATGTTGCTGGATCAGGAAGAGTGAATGGGGACAGGAAGAGAGAAAGAGATTCATGAACCGAGATGTCCTTACATTTCTGGAGTCTTGGACTTGTTCTTGCCGTTGAAGAACTCAGGGAGAGCCCGCCGCTCAATGGCATGAACACTGCAAGAGAAGCCAGTGCATTCAGAAGGCACTAGTGGAGAGATGGGAGCCCCAAAGAGAGGAAAAGCCTAGAAGGTGAGGCAGGCAAACAGCTGGAGACAGCAGGAAGGAGTCAGATGCTTGGGAGAACTTCCTCCCAGGGCTCCCCTAAAATGGAAGTGTGCCCCAGTCTAGCTGACTGAGGAAGAAATAACTTATTTAGCGGCAGGAGAAGGAACAACATGTTGACCCAAGGAGGCCGGGAGAAAAGGGTGTAGTGGGAAGCTGGAGAACAATACCTATTATAATCGAACCAGGCCGCATAGCTGGGGATGATGATGTGGTGGGTCTGCTCAGTCACATTGTCCTCATGCAGGTCCGGGTTCTTGGTCTGCTCCCCCTTGTTCCCCGTACTGTTTTCATCCTCATCCTATGAACACGGAGGCTGCTGGACACTCAGCATTCTCATCTTGCCCCTAGCAACCCCCTGCTTCTCCCGCACCCCAGGAATATGGGCACTAAAGATGGGTGTGGGAGTGAACAGTAATGGGCCCCAGGACTGGAAAAGGGTCAGTTTTGAGCAATAGGTAGAATCAGTCTATGGGGGGAAATGTCCGGGCAGGGAAAGTTCTGGGCAGAGGGAACTTTATAATCACAAATCAGAATCACATAGAGAGGTAGGGCCCCTCTAAACTGGCTCCACCTTGCCCGTGGTCTCCATGCTTTCATCCTCCTGTTCATCTGAAAGAGAGAGACAGCGAGATAGAAGGCTGAAGCCTCCAGAGGGGCCGAGAAGAGTCCTATTTCTGAAAAGCCCCGGCAGGCTGGGGAAGTGACAGCTGGCCTCCCCGGATCGGGCTCCCCTTCTTACCCAAGTCAGTCATGGTGCCTCCTTTGACCGGGGCTGACTCCGAGTCCTTCTTAGTGTTGACTGTAGGAAGAGAGTCATTTTATCAGACAGGTTCTGCCTAAACCAGGCCCTTACCTCTCTGCTGCTAAGTTCTAAAGATCGCACTTTCTCCAAAAACTTTCTCCTGATCACAAAATGTAGTGACTTCCTTCAGTCACAATCAGTCTAGGTTTTGAAACTCACTTGCCATGTTGCCCTCTTCCCAACCAAAAGTTCATTTAGCTTTTTTCTATGGAGAAGCATTTTCTACTCAATGGATATTTATATATCAATTGTCTTTCAGGCCCTTATATCCACCTGTGTCTTTTTTAAAAAAACTAAAAATGTCTTTATTGATTTTAGAGAGAGAGAGATGGGAAGGGAGAGGGAGAGAGAAACATCCATGTGAGAGCACAAAATCAACTGGCTGCCTTCTGCACACCCCCTACTGGGGATCAAGCCCCCAATCCAGGCATGTGCCCCGACAAGGAATTGAACTGGTGACCTCTCACTGCATGAGACAACACTCAACCAACTGAGCCACATCCGCCAGGGCTGTAAGTTCTTAATAAAGTGAGACAGAGCCTGACCAAATCACTCTACAGAGAAGTGGTTGGATCTTAAATATTATTTTTTCTTTTTCCTTGCTTTTTTTTTAAAAAAAAATCTTTATTGTTGAAAGTATTACATATGGCCCCCTTTTCCCCCAGTTGACCTCTTCCAGCCCACCCCTGCCCCCACCCCAGGCCTTCACCACCCTATTGTCTGTGTCCATGGGTTATGCATAAATGCATTCAAGTTCTTTGGTTGCTCTCTTCCCACCCACCCACCCTCTCCCAGATCTTAAATATTTTTTAAAGCAGAGGACACTTTCCCCAGCTGAATTCATACACGAAAGCTCAGGAGGAGAGCTGCTCGGATCGACTAGGGGGTGGGAGCCAGAACTCCTCTCTCAGTGGCCCCCTTTACTCCACTCCTGAACTGTATTTGGGACTAGTCTCTAGAGCACAGATTATAACCAGTGCTGAAGAGCAGTGGTCTCCAAATGAGGTTCTCACACAGGATGCACAAGATGGTCCACTAGACTACAGCCAGAGAATATCAGAACTTCTCTTTATATTTGTCTTTTAATCTTATCCTTTACATTTTCCCATTCTTAGATAATGTTTGCATGTGTTTTATAATGTTCTAAAAGGAGTGGTGTAACAGTTCATGTATGTAATTTGTGCTCAAATATATTTTAGAGGTAGGGCCCCTCTAAACTGGCCCCACCTTGGTTAAGGCGTTGACCCAATATGCCAAGGTTGTGGGTTCGATCCCTGGTCAGGACACATATAGAAATCAAACAATGAATACATAAATAAGTGGAAAAATAAATTGATGTGTCTCTCTCTCTAAAATCGATCAATCAAAAAACAAAAAAATGGAATATGGAGACAACTACTGTCGAGCACAAAGCACAGTCCACAACTTACTAGTAGTTATGGATGTGAAGTTAGAGGGTGGTCCATGGTGGTGGAAAGAACCTCTAGACCTGGGACTGGGCCTAGGAAATCAGCCACTCGGGGTTTGAAAGAGTAGGGGCAGGGCAGGCAGGCCCAGGAGCTAGGCCCAGCCCATACCTGTTTTGGGCAATGTCACCTCTTCTACGTTGGGGACTGGTGAGGGCTCATCCATGTCCTTTGTTAGGTCTTCTTGCTCCTCTTCTCTGTGGCCTCGCTTGGACTTGGTGTAAGGTGTTGAGGGACTGGGAAGGAAAGGGAGTGAAAGAGAACCTAGTCATCCTTGGATAAGGAGTCCCTGGAAGTTCAAGTTCAAGGGACAGGAAGCAAGGGAGAACCCCAAGGGGCAGAACTGAGCAAAAACAGAAACCAATCACCTCAGAATAATGGGAAGTGGCCAAGGCTTCCATTTGGAGATAAAGCTCTCTTTGAGTTTACTAGTGGCTGGGACTAGAACTAACAACTAGGCAGCTAAAGATGAGTAGGTCTAGGGTCGGGTGGTCATGGGAAGGTTTGGAGAGATCACTGAAGGTGGGGGCAGGCTAGGGGCTGGCATACCCTTTCTTAGCATTTTTCTTCTTAGCTTCTGGGGTTGGTGAAGGAGAGGGGGAGCGCTTCCTCTTCTTATAGTTCCCCCCCTTCTTGTCCCGTCGATCTGAATCCGGGCTGTTCACCTGCAGGTTGGGGAATTGGGACAAATGTCAGTCACTAATCTCCAGTGAAGACTTATTCCAAAACTTATGCTAATGGCTCCAAGAAGAAAGAAGAGGAATTTCACCTCATCTGTCAGTGTCTTGGCTGAAATCTTCTTTCGGCGGGAGACAGGGTTTTTGTCATCATTTACTTCATAGTCTTCCTCATTCATCCATTCATTGAAGGTGTCTGTGTCCAGGATCCACTTCGCATGAACCTAAGTACAGAGGAGACTGCGCTGAAGAGCCGCCTGGAAGCCAGAGCTCTGCCAGGGGCCCTTGACAGAAAGCCCACGGGCACCGATCTGCTGCTTCCTCTCCAGAGAGGCCTGGTCCTGGCACCGTTGTTCTGGGGGCAGCGCGGGAACAGAGCAGCTCACCTTCCGAGGCTTCTCGGGAGTCGGAGCATCTTCCACAGACGCTTCAATTTCACTGGCTGGGATCCACGTGTCGTAACTGCCATGGGAAATTCACCGTGAAGCAGAGAATCAGTAAGATGGAGTTGTGGAAAAGACAACTGGAAATCTTTTACCTTTTCCATGTATAAAAAGCACTGTGTTGTTGGGTTATTATTTTGGTATAATTATTTCCCCAGTTAATATTGAGATCCTTTCATTATAAAGTAATAAAAACAATTACAAAATATTTCAAAAATAAAAAAGGATCACCCTAACACAACTACTTGTGACATTCAGTATGTGGTTTTTCCCAATAACTTTTTAAAATATATATATTTTTATTGATTTCAGAGTGGAAGGAAGAGGGAGAGAGAATCCCCGATGAGCTGCCTCCTGCATGGGAGAGGGGAGGAGGCGAGCCCGACCTGGGCATGTGTCCTGACCAGGAACGGAACCGTGATCTCTTGGTTCATAGGTTGATGGTCAACCACTGAGCCATGCCAGCTAGGCCAGTAACTTTTTTCAGTATAATTTTATCCAAACATAATTCAATGATACTGGAGTTATTTTATATCCTACTTTTTGCAGTTACTATTCATTTAACAAATTATCCATGTTATTTCTATAAATTTAAAGGCTGCATAGCCCTGCCAGTGTGGCTCGGTGGTTGAGTGTCCACCCATGAACCAGGAGGTCCCTGGTTCGATTCCCAATCAGGGAACATGCTCGGGTTTCAGACTCAATTCCCAGAGGGGGGTCTGCAGGAGGCAGCCAATTCATGATGTCTCTCTCATTGATGTTTCTATCTCAATATCTCTCTCCCTTCCTCTCTCTAAAAATCAATAAAAACATATTTAAAAATAAATAAAGGCTATATAATAGCCCACTAAATAGACATGTAAATTGGCTGAAACATTTCCCCACCATTAAACATTTAGATTGTTTCTAATATTTACTTATCAAAAATTATACTGGAATAACGATTTTGCATGTAAAGCCCCAATTCTTTTAGCCTAAGCCTGGTCCAATAAATACCAACCTCCCCCAAGATAGGAGATTCACATAATAGGAGAGAGGAGAACAAATTGACAAACCTAAAAAACAACAACAACAAACTAACAAACAAAATAACCCTAAAATAACCCCAAAAGATAATAAAGTGAAGAAACCCCCCCCCCCACACACACACACATACACCTCCAAATCACTCCTTGTTGCTTTGCTAGATGCCCTAGCACCTCCCAGCCTGGCTCTGTACTTACACCTGTCCCCAACCCATCCTCACCTGTCAGGATAATAGCCCCAGTGCAGAAGAACCTGCTTGTCCCTCTTCATGACTGGTCGCACCCATTCCTCTGGGGATAGAGACAGAGCAGGGAGAGAGATAAGCTAATGGGGTACAAAAAGTAACTCTGTATATAACTCCTGTTGCAGCAGAGGACCTGTGAATAGGAATGTAAGGCGGTAGGAGAATTTAGGGTTGAAAGGAGAGAGCAGCCCAGGCACCGCATGGGATCTGAGCAGTCCTCCACCTCCTAGTCCAAGCCATTCACTGAGGTGCCCAGGAAAGCCAGGTCTCACCTTCTTCCAGGTTCCCTGGGACAGGATACACAACATGGGATGCACTGTTCCTATCCTCAGTGACCGTTCCCTGGATGGCACAAAAAAGGAGGTAAATATACCCCCCTCTAAATCACTCATCAGTATAAATAAGCCAAAATAAGATTTAACTACAGATCTGCCTTCCTAATCATATTTTGCTCAGAATGGTATTAAAGTGAGTTGCCCTCTCTACTAAGCACACACTAGCTGAATGGCGGAGGAAATAGCTGGGATTGTGCTAATAATGAAGAAAAGTCAAAGAATTAAAAACTGCTACAGATAATCTGAGTAAATAATCCACACATGGGAAATGTAAAGTTGACTGTGTGTCTTTAGCAATGACATCTGCTTCCTATGCTAGAGTTCCAAAGAGCAAAGATTTCATTTCTCTGACCTCAGGCAATACCAAGTTCATTGGAAGTAAAAGCTTTTCCCCCAGACTAAGAGTCTCTAGGAACAGTGACTCAGACCTGTCAAGACTGAAAAATGGGAGGAGCAGACATAGAAAGAATGGCCCAAGGCTTCAAGTCTAGTCATTTTCCAAGTAGGCAGAGGCACCTCTGCAGCAGAACACATGGCCCCTCAGGGCTATTTATTGAACGGAAACGTCAGGAAAAGGGTCGCGGACTTTCCAAAACCTCTCCTGACCCACCCACTCACCTGGTGTCTCTTGATAATGTCCTTTAATTTTCCTAGCAGTTTGGGTTCAATTTCGGGGCACAGGAAAATGTTTGGTCGAGACAGGCAATTATTCTGTGGGGAGAAGTAGATGGAGTGAGATTATGGGGAGGGTGTTTTGGATTCCTGCTGAGGGAAGGGAGGTGAAAGGGGGCAGGTTCCCGACCAGTACCTGCACCAAGGACTTCTCGATGGTCATGAACATTTCCACGTTGCGGTCCATGCGTGATGGGTTCTGGAAGTCGTAACGCCGCCTATGAAGAGGCAATAATCCAGTGAGTGATATAGTTGAGTTCGGGGGATCAGGTTAGGGTAATGTGACTAACCTGGGAAACTAGGAGGCAATCCCATTCACGGCTATTGTCAAAACTGCCTAGAATCTGGGGTTTACTGATCTCAACTCACTCTATACTGAGTCCAAAGGACAAAGTAAAGTTTGAGATGCCAACCTAAGAATCCCTTTTTCTCTACAATACACATACTGACGCACACACACATACTTACACAGTCTTGGAGACTATTTTGGTTCTGACTCCCAGCCCTTTTTCTGACCTAGCAAGTCAGGCCTACTGACCTAGCAAAGTAAGAGACTCACAAAAATGTCTACTTAAGCTCTGCCACCCCAGAAAGACCCTGAGGAAAAATTTACCCGAGGAAAATCCCTCTAAACTACATATAAAAAGCATCAAGAGAGGGCATCTCACCATCCCTGGTCACTCTTGAATTTGTAGGCAGCTGCAAGTATGTGGCACAGGGAGCCTCCTGCTTTGAAATCTAGGAAACATTTGATCTACAAAATTGAGACAGGGAAGAAGTATGTAAGAGTTACATCCTAAATTCTGTTATTACTTAATCCTCTCACAAAATCCCATGCTAAAGTGATCTCCCTCTCAACCAGGAATTCTTTAACCCCTGTGCCATTGTATCATGTAGCCTGGAAGAGGGGAGAGGAAGAAACGAAAATTCACAAAGCCCCACTTTGTGCCAAGCACTTACTGGGTTCCCTCACTGACCGTTACAGAACGGCCATAGTGTAGTCACGCTAATCCTATCTAGAGATGAAGGAACCAAGATGCAAAGGGTGTAAACTGCTTGGCCAGGTCACAGAGACACCAAGTGACAGAGCCAGGATTTGAACACAAGCCCGTGCAAACCCATGCCATGAGAGTTTCACGCACCGAGCTCACACACTCTGAAATAACCTGCTGCACAAAGTATTACTAAGACAAAGGGAATGGTAAACCGGGGACTAGGCCAAGGCATCAATGTCCTGGCCAGGGATAGGGATGGTAAAAAATTACCCAAATTTCAAAAATCATGAAATTTACAACCCCCCCCCCTAAAAAACAAAACAACACCTTCTCCAGTTTTGAGGATTCACCCCCTGGCTTTTGCACTCACCGGCAGTTTAGTGAGCGGTGCATTGCTGACATGTTTGCCAAAAACTTCTTCCTGAAATTGTAGCAACTGTACAACCAGGCTAGACAGGGACTTGTTGGTGGGTGGTTCAGCTTGTATATACTGGGGAAATAGAGGGAAAGAAAAGAAAAATAGACCCCAGGTAAATTGTCCACCACTTCCCTATTTCTTCCCCAGGAGCTCTGGAAACATCTGGGGCAGAGAAAATTGTGTCTTCTTTCCCCATGTGTCTAGTTTCTATAAAGAAAATGGCAGAAGGGAGACAGACCCTCGACGCGCCTCACCAGGAAGTTGCAATTGTGCTGCCCCCAGCCCAGGTACACCTGACATTGGCTCTCTACCCTGAGGGCTGTAAAAGTCTGAAGGTTCCTTGAGTTCAGGCCAGGGAAGCAATACCTTTGAGGCTCTAAGTGAGACAACCGTGTATTTCTTGGGGTAACTTTGTGGAAGGCCAAGCTTCGCCGTTATCATGTGGCTTAAGAAAGGTGCAAGGAAGTGAGGTAGGGCAAACAGACCGAGAGGGCAAGGCTGGGGGCAAGCATGGGCAAACAGAGCGAGCTCGTGCGTTCTGCTTCTGCGAGGGGCAGGGCACAGATGCACAGATGTCTTCGCAGGCCCTCCGAGATGGAAGGACCAGCTACCATCTAGCCTAGTGGGAAAGAGCAAGATTGCACCTGTCTTTTCTGAGGAAACCTTAGCTGAGACAAGTAACCCTGGGCATTCTTTTTTTTTTAAATATATTTTATTGATTTTTTACAGAGAGGAAGGGAGAGGGATAGAGTTTGAAACATCGATGAGAAAGAAACATCGATCAGCTGCCTCCTGCACACCTCCCACTGGGGATGTGCCCGCAACCAAGGTACATGCCCTTGACCGGAATCGAACCCTCCCGGGACCCCCTCAGTCCGCAGGCCGAGGCTCTATCCACTGAGCCACACCGGTCAGGGCACCCTGGGCATTCTTAAACATTCCCATGCTATGCAACTAGCATCCTCGCCTTCTGTTCTAATTTAAAACTGAGACAGCAGGCAACTTTCTCTTTACCTTTTGACCCCTGTGTGCTCACCCTAATCACAGAGCGGAGCGCTCCTCCTCAGCGGGAGGTGTAAAGAGATCCCTGAAGGAAAAGGTAAGTGACAAAGAGCTAAGAGCTGCAAAGCCGAGCCAGGTCGCGGGCCGCCCATCTCCGCAGGCTCGGGACTAAGCCCCTGGACTGATCTCCCTTCAAAGGGTCAAACAGAAGCCTGGGAACCCGAGCCCCGGGCGGAGGCGCAGACAAGGCAGAGGCCCGCGCTGCTGGTCGGGACCCTGCACCCAGAGCCCCGAGCAGGGCAGCTCAGGACCAGGACCAGGACCAGGACCAGGACCAGGGGGGCGTCCTCCTCGGCCGCCCATCCCATCGGACAGGCTGCGGGCTGGGCAGGAGGCACCGGGCGGAGGGCGGCCGCCGAGACCCCGCTCCGGGAGCAGAGAGCAGGCCGGCGGCTGTCTCGGGAGAAAACCCGCATGTTTAGATGTTGCTTTCAACAAGGGCCCACAGACAAAGACAAGCCCGGGAGGAGGTGCAGCGGGAGGCAGGTAAGGCTCCTTCCACCCTTTG